GGTCGATGCTGATGATCAAACGTTCGAAAAATCTTCAACCTTCTACAAATTTCTAAACTTCCGCGACAAATCGATTGTTGCATGGGAGAGGTACCTATTGTATGTCACTAGGCCACAGCAGGTACTTTGTGATTAAAATGAACGACTTCAGTAGAAGTTGAATTAGCCAAACAAGTTTCATTCCATTAAGCGTAGCTTTGGGCTAAGTTTAGCGAGAGGAAAGCGTCTAATCAAGAGGATATTTGGAACTGGCAACTTTCACGTACCCCTGCCCAAGGTGTCAGAATCTCGCAGATCAGTGACGTGTTTACTTACGTATGCTTCCGGTCGCGCACGCCCATATTATTTACCGTTGAGAACCGTTGAGTGGTTTTTATTGTCCCGCTATTCTGAAGCTGTGACGATGCCTTACGAGCGAAGTCATTATCTAGATCTCCGGTTGTCACAGTCGTGCGTGCGTCTTTAAGCAAGTCGTTTTACAAGTCTTGTGAAAGAGAGTTCGTCTCTTTCTTCTACACTGTGCAAACATCTGGAAGGACATTTTTCTGTGTAGAGCTGCACTCTAGATGGCACATTCATTGATACAGAGAACACATTTGTTGCTTGTACTGCTGGTGTTCCTTTGCCGGTCATCAGGTAAATGCTGTGTAGATGTTACTCAGTGTTTTACAGCCTTTCCCTGTGGTTATTGCCAAGACGCTTACCCAGCTCAAGATTCGAACGTATGGCAATTGCGGTAATTTGCTAACGGGGTGCCCATGTTTATAAGAGTTATTACATATTCATACATTCATAATCTTTATTGAAAATTGAATTTAATAATTATGACTTCATAAAAGACTCCCAGAGAGAGTGAAGTCTTTTAATTACTACAATGTCAAACTTCTCTCTGTTAGGAGAGAAGAATTAAGTTTCTGTAAAGGGCGATACCAGCTCAGATTGTATCTAGCAGAGAACAGGGTGACGAATTGCCAGTTTTTAAGATTCACGTCATTTTTCCTTTTTAATTTATTTTGTTATTCATAATGATTAGTTCTGTGTTTCACAGCTGTCTCTATCTCAAGTCAAATTACCGAGCGTGAAAGTTCATTGCCACTGTTTGAGTTTTGCGATAACTGAATGAGGAGAAGCGGGCTTAGAAACTATTTCACAACTCTTTATTAATACGTGTCTAGATCTTCAGCTGTTGCGTTTCCAAGCTTGCCATCGGCCAGATATCATTCGTACTTTAAATTCACTTTAATAAACCATGTAAACGGTCTTTTACTTTTAGCATGTTTTGTCTTGCATAATTCATAACTCAAAAGGGTCGGTTCTACAAAGAAAAATATAAAAGACGACCTTTTGACAAAACCCAAACAGCAATATGTTTGTAAAAACATTCTAATTATTTTTTGGTTTTGTTGCTCGCTCGTTAACTTAGCGAAGAGGTTTTTTGCCATATCTAGTCATAATCTCTTTTTTCTTGCTATTTAGCATATGAAAGTGAAAGCATATGAAAAGAATATAATCATTTCCATCGATAGCGAGTGTCCAAGCCAGGCACTTGCTGAGAATTTTTATCTACGCGCGAGTGATTCTTTCATTTCGAAGACTTGATTTCCGGTCAGGACAGCTTCGGGATTCACAAATAAGACAGTGTTTTCGAGAGCGAGATCTAATCCCTGTATTTGCGACCTGTCAAAGAACATTGATAAATTACTTTAAAGTAATATTTCTTGGTAACTTTTGTATAAAAAAGTGTAGCGTGGTGGATAAATTATTTCGAGTGTTCCCGATGACGTTTCCCATAGAGGGGTTTACTGCACGTGAATGAAAATATATTTCCTCCGGGAGATATAAATATTAGGCGGAGAAATTAATTTCTATATTTGAAGATTCTTGCGATTTCATGGTTGTAAATAAAGGAGCCTTTATTCGAAATGTTGATTTTTGGTTTTCAGAGAGCGTGTTGTCTTTTAAGTGTAAAACAAAAAAGTCATTGATTACACGCCAGTGTAAATACAAATTAAATTGCAAATTAAAAAATGCCTTTTCCAATGTTTGGTTTTAAAAAGTAATAATCAAGGACTTATTTAAACAACTACAGCTGTAAGTCACGTCTTCAGTTTAGTATTCTTACGATTTTCTCCTCTTTTATAAATCTGTTTTCTTTTTTCTGTGACAGTGTAATTTCACCTTTACAATATTTAAAATACTTTCTAACGTTTGAAATACCTATATTCATTTAGTTGTAAATAATTTTTTAAAGTTTTGCAATTAACTTTTTCAGTAATTGCTGCTATTCATGAACGCCTCCACGTTTCTGGAACTACATTGTTCCATCAGCCTGGCCCATCTCCTATCATTTATCCTGTATGTCAATACCCTATTGTAAATATCGTTATCACCAACAACTATCACTCAAAGTTCTCTTTCCACATTTTTTTAATTACTGGAAATAATTTTCCTTTGCTAGGGGGGAATTAAGTGGGAGTGAATTCCTTTTATTGTAAAAAAACTAAGTTATTGAATAAAGTCAGCGCTACAAGATTATACCGTAAGATAAAATTTACATTTTAAACCTTTCACTCCCAGATGAATTTCCAGTTATGTTGAGATTTGTTGTCCCTTTAACTTTTAAATCTGTGGATGAAATACTTTAGTGTTACCATTTAAATGAAACCTCTCTTAGCTGGTAGACGGCTTTGGCATAGGGCCATTGTTTTTCTCTTTATATTTTACTGAGTAAAGTATTTAATTTATTATTTTTTGTATTATTTTTTTTGTTGTGGCCACTATTACACTGTATGAATGAAAGTTGTGACCTTTTGAGATCCCCCCTACACTCTTTTCCATTAAAGTACAAGCAGGGGGAGGGGTAGGGTAGATAACATTCAAATGCAAAGTTTGTCACAGGCAAACAATTCCTTCCTTTAGAAAACTGTCTTTGAACTTCATCACCCACTGTCAGAGAATAAATAATATTTGAACCCACATATCATCGTCAAATTATTTACACATGTCAGGAGAGGTACAATTTAAAGACAAGGTTTTCCTAGTGCCTCATTAATTAAATTGTCACAGTCACAAATGACAATTGCTTGCTGATCACTAACAGACTAATAAGTGTATAAGTAAATTCTAAACTAATAATTAAGATGTAAATGTAGTTGTGATATTTATTCTAAGTTTTAATTCATTGTGATGTATAGCTTTGAAGATTTCAGTGCACAGTGAAAATTTTGTCGTAAACTAAATAAGGATGAAATATTATTAATATAATTATATGATAACATAAATAAGACGAAAAGTCTTTTTTGCAGTGGTTAGCTTTTACTCTTGAGGAAAAAACCCACCAATGATAACTGCTTTTTTTAATCATATTATACTCACATAATATTGGAATTGATTGATTGTAATATATTATTATTGAAGGTAGCCTGCAAATTACAATTTCCAGTATTTTTCATCTCTGTGATGGAACGATGGCACTTTTCCTTGTTGCAAGGTTAACCCATCCACCCTTGGGAATTTTGGCAAAAAACTCCCTTTGCCAGTTGAGCCAGTTGATCTATTTTCTAGTCACTGTCTGGTTACAAAGAGCCAAAACAGCCCAAAACACCATTTATATATCAAGTCCTATATGCTGCCTTCTGTTCCTGATGCTAAATATCATATTATTATTATTATTATTATTATTATTATTATTATTAAAGACATTATTATTATTATTATTATTATTATTATTATTATTATTATTAAAGACGTTATTAAATATCAGCTTCCGAAGTTGAGCATTCACAGAAAGCAAAATTTATTTTTCTCCCCTCTCCTTTCACTTCTCTTCTAAGCTGAGAAAATACTAACATTTTTTTTATGTTCTTTATTCTGCAGATTCAAAAGAGACACCACCTACATTAATTACAGAAAAACAAACGCGTTCTTTCAAATTTGTTGCAAAAGGCTATTCTGTAGATCTTGACTGTCGGTTTAAAGACCCTTATAGCTTAGATGACGTTACATTGTTAAAAGAATTGGATACCAGTACAAAGACCCCAAGAAATGTTGATGGGGTGAAAATCACCAAGAGTGGACAGATATTTACAATAAACGATGTTCAAGAGTCCGATAAAGGCAGATATTGGTGTAAAGTTGGTTCATGGAGTTACAGAATAGAGAGACTTTATTTTGTTTCCAGAACACAGCGAGGTATGAACTATCTGCTTTGATAGTGTACTGAGTATACTATAGGTTTCCTTAAGGAACTTTAATTTAATGATATCTAACTTCATACATGCATACTTGTGCATTAATAAGTTGCTCGATTCTCAGGCGCAGATCTGAGATAAAATAACACTTGTGGATTTCCTAACAAGCACTGAAGGTGCAAGCTTGTAGGGGGGTCCGCAAGTATGCTCCCATGCATGCTTTTGGAATTTATCTGCCTAAAGTCCCCTATCCTGGGTTTCTGAGTCATTCTGACAGGATATTAGTCAGTTCCTTTCTCCTCAGATGAAGCCTTGCAAATCATTGGATTAAAAAACAAGGTCAATTTCAAGATTTTAAGGTGGAAAGTTTTTTGCCAAAAATATATTTGTCATGAAAAATCTGACCAATTTCTGTGAAACAGTGGAACTAGTGTGGATCTGCGCCAGACGATTCTCATCAACTGCAGCTTCATATTTTTTGTTGTGATATAGGCATAATGGAAGTTCTTGGTCAACTTTGAATGTTGTTTATATTTACCTCATAATAATGAAACAAAGTATGAAAGTAACTTTGGAGAATCACAATTTTTCAAACAGTCAACCTTTCAAATGCTGTGAAAGTTTAGAGAAATCATGAACAATAATTTAATCTGAGCCAGTCCTCTGATAGTAAAGGGAAGTGTTAACGGTCTTCTTTATCACGGAAAAAGTGTCTGTTTACAAGGCAAATTACATTTTCTTTATATTAACACATTTCATTTTCCAGGGAATTACATTTTGACACAGTCTACTGTACCAGAAAACATCACCACAATAAATGAAGGAGATAATGTAACTATTGTCTGTAAAGTTAGTGGGCATGGCATCAAGAGAGTAGAGTGGTATAAAGACAAAATGGAACTCCCAAGTAGATACAACAATACTGGAGACTTCAACGTCAGTATCACTGACTTAACAGCGGTAACTGTGTCACAGGCTGGTGATTATGAATGCCGAACAAGTATTATTCCAACACCATGGGTTGGCTATCAAGCTGAGTCATTTGTGTTGCAAGTCATAGGTAAGGGCGATTTGCTGTTCAACTTAGTAGATTACACAAAGTGAATATTATAAAATAACTAAGATAGTATGCGCGCTCTGATTGGCCGAGAGGAGTGTTTGCATGAGAGTATGTAAGCATAGTTGTGCCGCCAAGATATTTTGCTTTTTCCGCGCTAATCATGCAAGCACGAATTTGAAAAAGTTTTCGAGTTAAAAACTCGACAAGTTTACTTTATTTACCCATTCCTTTGTCGGTTGAAACTTGGAAAATCGTTACAAAGAAGGTGTGTCAATTTTTTTCGCTTAACATTCTTTTTGCAAAACAAGAACTGATTACGCGTGCAAGACTTTGCGACTGGTAAGAATGTCTCTTTTAACCAGTGCCATACAAAGAGTTTTGAATCTTTTCTCGGGAAAGTTATTTTATAAAAACAATAGAAAACTTTCTCCCTGTGTTTGCATAGCCTGATATAAACACGAGAGGGGTTGGGAGAATTCTCGACAGTTATGCAAACCCTCGACTTTGTCTCAGGTTTGCATAACTGTCTCGAATTCTCCCAACCCCTCTCGTGTTTATATCAGGCTATGCAAACGTGGAAAACGTTTTCTATTACTTAATTAGTAACTGTTTACCCCAATACGATAAGACGGTCTTAACACTTATGAACATCATCAGAAAGGGTTTGTGGACTCCAGGGCCCAGTTGTTCGAAAGTTGGATAACACTATTCACTGAATAAATCCCTATCCAGTTGATAACGCAATCGGCTTCCCTAATACCTATCCACTGGATAGTGATTTATCCAATGGATAGCGCTATCCAATGTTTGAACAACCGCGACCAGATCAGATCTACATGTATATTTGGAATTACCAGATGTCTTGACCTCTAGCCTGGCACCAGAAGCCTGGAAATCTAGGTCATTCAACCTGACAACTGACATTAAACCAAAAATGTGAGAGAATTGTAGTATTATAGACTTTTTATTGGCTTTGGGGCACATGGCCTTTATCAGCGAGGCATTCTAAAAAACATAAAGCAAGAGACAATAACCTCCGCAAGCAAAAATAAATTAAAATACAAGTTAGCTTTTTAAGAGTTTGTGATACTTTCCTGAAAAAGTCAAGAGCCTTACTGTAAAACTTTGAGACTTGAGAGCTCTAATTTACTGCGCCTTTTTGAAATAACTACTTTTTTGTGACCAGTAAATGCAAGAAAATTTATAGACCTAAGACCTGATTAATTGTTCAGACTGAATTCACTTCCTTATGACCTTAACGGAAGACTGCAGGTTAACTTGTTCTAATTTATAATCTAAGGCAAGTTTGTTCTTTATGACTTAGTCTGTGCTCAAAATGTTTATCTTCTATTCCCTGATTTAAGTCTTGGTACATTTCACTTTACAGGTTTTCATTTTCTGGCAAAGAATAAAAAGTACCAGAGACTATTTGTGGGAGACAAAGTGACCATTAACTGTAAAACTAATGCACAGAAAGCAACTTCGACCTTATGGGTAAGAAAAGATATACGTCCATCTAAACAGGTAATGCCAAATGGTAGTACAATCACATGCAAAGGCAACAGGTTCCTTTTAAGCAGTCTAACACAAGATGATGCTGGCTCCTACGTGTGCAAGGCCACGTCTTCCCCTCTTGAGAAGACTATTGAAGAAGAGATCACAACTCTTTTGATCTTCACAGGTAAAATAAAAACTTTAATAACTTTTAGTGTGGCTTAATTAATTATATGAGGAAAATAACAAATATGGGAGGAGCTAGAGCATACAAAAGAAAAAGTTGAATGGTTTTTGCATCGGCAGATGGTTTCTGTCGATACACTGGATTTCCAAAAAAAATATATGTAGGCTATACACTTTGCCCTCCCTGCTCAATTCAATGTGCTTAGATACATGTAAACAATAATCAATACAAGCACTTATGTCTCTTTAAATAGATGACCAAAGTAAACCCCTGGCACAAGTCTACCCTGTTGTTGGAGAGGTCTTCTCTGGACAAAATGTAAATATTTCCTGTCAAGCTCCAGGTCATGCTGTTTCAATGGAATGGTCAAGAAAAGGTCAAATTGTCTCCAGCATCCAGACACACAGAAAAATAAGAACAACAGCCAAAGGAAATTTCACCNTGTTGTTGGAGAGGTCTTCTCTGGACAAAATGTAAATATTTCCTGTCAAGCTCCAGGTCATGCTGTTTCAATGGAATGGTCAAGAAAAGGTCAAATTGTCTCCAGCATCCAGACACACAGAAAAATAAGAACAACAGCCAAAGGAAATTTCACCGAAAGTACTCTGGTGCTAACAAATGTATCAAAGGTCGACAATGGTACCTACACCTGTACTGTTACAACTTCCAAAAATATGGGGTATTCTAACCAAGCAACTGCAACATTATTAGTTACAGGTATGCTGGCAAAAGCTTTTCAACCTTTGCATTTGAAACTTTTTGTTTCTAAAGAGTGGAAAAAGATAACCTCAAAGATATGTGTCAGCATTAAAAAACCATGCCCTCAAGGTACTTCTTACACCTTAATTTGACGAGACAGTTGTGTACCATTGTAGCACATCTATCTATTATTGACACAATTATATTCTCCTCGACAATTGATTTTATTTTTTTCTTGCATAGCGTTTTTGTTCTAATAATTAATCAAATTAACATACTATAATACATTGTCTTGATCAATAAGGATTTCTTAAAAACATAAGCAAGCAAATATTAATGTTAAAAGGCGATGTTTCGGTATCATCATGACACCATTCTGAAGGCAATTATTCATTCTGCAATTAATTATTCATTTTGCCTTGAGAATGGTGTCATGATGATACCGAAACATCGGCTTTTAAAGTTAATATTCGCTTGCTTATAATACATTGTATCACATTTATTTAAACCTCTGATTTACTGTAAAGGCTAAAATCTCCAAGAACGTAAAAAAATAATAGTAGTAGTAAGAAAAATTCTAAAAGGAAAGGAAATAGGAATTAACAAATGGAAATACAAAACTATGAGAAAAAGGAATTTTAAAGAGTAAAACTAAAACTACTCATTATATTTACTATTATATTTTCTGAAACAAAATCTGATGCATTTTGAATGACTCCCCTTTTTTCTTTCCAGCGTGTAATGAATCTTATAAGTTTGCTGACCCAAGTGACACCTCTGGTTACTTTGAGTGCAAACATGGAACTCCAGTGAAGAAATCGTGTCCTGGTAATCATGTGTGGAATCAAGAAGACAAGAAATGCAAACTTTGGCAGCTAGGTATGGTATACAGTATTGATATTGAATTACAACTCATGCCAAGTTTAACTTTATACTGATCATTCATGTTAAACTACATCTTTACCCAATTGAGTATCAGTAAACACAGGGACTGTCATCTCTTAATCTTAACTAGCAATTAAGAACACATTAAATTTTTTGACTTGTTAGTGGTTCTGGCAGAACCTGAGCTTACACATAATCTTTAACTCTTTAGCCATCATACATTGCACCTTTTTGTTGCAGTGAGAATTAAATTTGCAGTTCCAAGTAATAAAAGGACTGTCACAATAGCTGAGTCCAATTTTATTTGCTGATTACTCGGTTTGGATTAGTTAATGTTTTCTCAGAAATTGCTCCCAAAAACATGTGGGTCCTAAGCCTTATAATAAGTTATAAACAATGGAGATAAACTTTGTCAAACTTTTAAAGGAGTAACAATCATAGAGCCAAGTAGACAAATGTACCCGTGAGGAATTGTTTCCCTTGGCTCAATTGGGTCTAAATTTTCTTTTCTGTTAAACATATGTTAAAGAAGGAGACTTGGACGACCATTTTGTCTTCTTATGATGTTCTATTTACAACATATAATTGCACATAATGAAATTTGTGCCAAACTTGAAATAAAGTTTAACTTTTGTATATTAATTAATTGATTTACTTTTAGACTGGGTTCATGACAAAGATGGAAAAAGGGTTATCATTCTTGATACCAATACACGGTTTGAGTTGGACTGCCAGCTTAATGATCCACGAGTAACAGTAACAGTAAAAGTTCAACTCAAAAAGGGGAATAAAAACGTGGATCCTCAAAAGAACATTAATGTGACACAGATTGGACAGAAGTTTAGGATAGATGTCTCATCACTTTCAAGTGGACATTCAATGGAATTGAAATGCCAGGCATTAGGAAGTGGAGGTCAAGTTGTTTCAAAGAAGACAGTTACCCTTGTGAAAGCCAAAGGTTTGAACTTGATGTCATGATAACATATAAGTACATATTAATGCATTTTCAACCCACTGAAGAACATACCAAACAAAGGCAAAAAAATAGAGTAACTTTGATCGCTATCTCCAGTCTCAAGTACACTACCCACCTTTACTTCCTTCAAAATATTTTTGCAATCATCAAGTTTTTTGCAAAAAGTTTTCTCACCAAATTTAAGCTTCAGTAATTATAGCTTGCAAGTAGAACAATATTATAGAGGAAAAGAGGTAAAAAAAATAAAAAAATGGAAAGAGAGGAAACAAAAGGGCATTTTTCCAAGGGCAAATTTGTTTTTATGTTAAGTGCATGATACTGATTATAAAAAAAGAATAGAAAATTTGAACGGAGGTTACAATAACCTCTTTCATTATAGTCACAATTAAGAACTCTTAAGTTAATTAGCTTTCCAAGTGTTTGTGTTAATCTTAATATTTTATGTTCTCTGGTTTATTGCAGATTTTCAAAACAACGTTTTTGTGCAGATTTTGCCTGTTTGCTCTCCTGGGCCATTAGCAATTCACGATTCTATCAGTATAATTTGCCATGCATATCATTTTGGAGGCATGGGATGGTACAAGATAGACAAGTCTTCAAATGTTCCCAAGGCAATAAGTGATTCAGACCCAAGACTGACTGATAATAAAAGTATGACTAGACATGGTCATTGGAATAAAAGCAAGACGTTGACACTTGACAATGTCACAAAAAATGATGAAGGAGCATATGTTTGTTGGAAATCAAATGGTTATAATATCACGAAAAACATAACTATTTACATTGATGTGGCAGGTAAGTCTTTTCATTTTTCATAAAGAGGATCTTTCCTTTGGTAGTCAAAGCAGTGCTCAATGAAAGCATGTAGGGATTGCAAAGCCCTGAGCCTAAAGAAAACGTGGTTACCCAACCTTACCCTCAGTAACCCACTGTACATGTACCAATACTCAAGAAGCTAACAAGTTTTGACTTGCTCAGCCATTTTTTTCGCTTTTGGCCTCGGGATAAACATAGTCATAGACACGGACACTTTATTTTACGTGGTAAATATGCTTAGCCATACGGCTAAAACGGGTAAAAAATATGATTTTCTAGAGTGTTCAGCAATAATTTTTTTCCAGCTGATTGTGATGCTGTCTAGACGCATAAAAGTAAGTTTATCTAACCATGAATCTAAAAAGGTGGGATCAACAACGATACCAGAAATTGAAGGAATTAACAAGAAAACATTTGGATACGTCAGCTTATTTTTGTCTTCATNGGGTAAAAAATATGATTTTCTAGAGTGTTCAGCAATAATTTTTTTCCAGCTGATTGTGATGCTGTCTAGACGCATAAAAGTAAGTTTATCTAACCATGAATCTAAAAAGGTGGGATCAACAACGATACCAGAAATTGAAGGAATTAACAAGAAAACATTTGGATACGTCAGCTTATTTTTGTCTTCATGGTGAACAAAGGTGCGCCGCGGTGCTAGTACTGAGTTTTCAGGCTGCAACTAGACTGTCAGGCTTAAAAGCTCACCTTAAATTGTTGAGGAATGAAGTGTGGCTTCAGTCGATTTCTAACTACTTTTCGTGGATACTTACTTGTCAGTAAAGTTTTCCACTATCAATTCAAGACGTTCTTTAGTCGGTTTAGTAGTTTGAAATACAATTAATGCCCAACCTTCCTGCTCGTGAAATGCTCGTGGTGAAATTGAGCGGCAAACGAGCGTTCATGACAACGAGGGTGAATACGCCTGCGGAGACAGACGGGAAGGCAAGAAAACGCCTTTTTAATTGGCTTTTTTTAGCCCGGCCATGTTCAAGAAAAGAGGTCTATTCGAGTGGTTCTCTGGCAATGGGAGCTGACTTTCAAGTAAACACAGTTCAAAGTTTATATTTTTAATAAACGTTTTTTAGGGGGTTCGAAGTTATAGAATTTACATTTTGGCCTCTTCCCCATCTTTATGTTCTAACATAAAATACCCTTATTGTGTATTTGATGTGATCCCACCTCTTAGATCCTTCCTTGACTGTCATTTACATATGTTTTTTTTTCTGTCAGATCCCTCACCAGCCACGATAGAAAAGCTTGATTCACCACCACAGTCGTTTATTAAGGAGGGACAAAATGCCAGGTTTCACTGCACTGTAAGCGGCTCTCCTCGACCGAACGTAATTTGGAAGAGAGGACAAGAAATTGTGGCCTTTTGCGCCGGAAAATATAACAGCGCTTGTGAAACATTTGGTTCCAGATACAAGGCAAATTGGAGAGACGATAGAGGATGTATGGGGAATTATTCCATGGGTCCAGTGAGCGGGGGATGGGTCAGCAGGCTTAATGTCAACAACCTACAGTACCCGGCTGATGTGAAGTACACTTGTGAAGTTGAAAACAGTCTTGGAAAGAAGGAAAAAGTTGCATCTCTTAAAATCGCCGGTAAGCTCAAAAATCAATTTCATTTTCATATTATTTCATTTATCCTTTTCCATTCCATTTCAGATTTATAGTACCATTTATAAATCACAGACAAACATTAGTGCTTGTGTCATAGAACGTTTACAGTACGTATTAAAATTCAGTTAAGATTATTCCATTTAAATATTGAGTTTGTCACAAAAAAGAAAAATGTAGATAGGAAAGGAGAGGGGCCCATGTAGGTCAACTAATGTTGTGCTCCTTACAATTATGTATTATAAGAAACTACAGTAGTTGGCTAAGTAATAACTATTTATTTTAGATAAAACTGCAGAGGAAAAGTGAAAATGGCTCAATTAATAAAAAAAGATGTTTAATTCGTAGTATTGAGCAAATTACTAATGTAATCTTTTCTAACCTTTTTCTAGTTGGTTTATCTCTGACTGATTACAGAATATTATTCCAAGAAAAATCTCCCAATAACACTGGGGCTTAATCTTAATCACGGTTTTGGCACACAGACATTGAAGACCCCAAAGATTCACAAGTTAAAACCGAAGTCATAAAACTGTTTGCAAAGGCCTTCCAAGTTGTTAGTATTGTTCGTGGGAGTTGTAGATAAGGCCTGCCTCCATGCTTGTTGTAACTATTCATAACATTTTAGCCTTTCGTGCTTACTACCACTATTATTTATACCGCTGTTATAAATATTACACTTTTAAAATGATAGAGGCCACACAGTTTAATAACCCGTATAGCGGGAAATTTTTTCCCCACAGCGCGCGCTGTCATTGGTTACTTCGAGGTCACATGACATCTAACGATGAAGCTGTTTCCCCCAAATTCTCTGGGCGGGCAATATTTAAAAAATCTATCGTCAGAGGGTAACAGTGCACTGTTACCCACGAATGATGACCGACGACCGCCGTTACAGCGAGGTTTAATGAATTTCCAGCTATATAACAAATTACTTAAAGACCGGTTCCTCGGGAAACAGTTTATTTTGTTTCCCGTGAATCTCAATGTTTCCCGAGGCGGACTCGGAACCAGTCATTAAACGTTTATTTCCGCTATTTTCAGTCGCACCTGTTTTACAAAAGAACACAGAAAATGGGCCCGAGAAGGTTTATGGCGCTCAAGACAGAGAGAGAGAGATCAAGTGTATAACAAAGCGCAGCATTCCTCCAGCGAGCTTCAAGTGGCTGTATCAACCTTTAAATTGTAGTTTATCTTCGTCAAGCTGCCCAAAACCTACCAGCAACTGGAGCAATCTAACAGATTTTGGAGATATAAAAAATCGATCTGATAGCACGAGTGTCCTAATATTGCCAGGACACCTAAAAAATATGTATTTTAAGTGCATTGCTGAGAACCCAGTCACAGGAGCAAAGGCTTCCAAGCAATACCAGTTTATGCGACAAACTGGTAAGTATACCGTTCCTTGCTCATACACTAGAAATATTATTTTCACCAACCAAGTTTCCATAGGGCGTCAGGCGTCTTAAAATAACTGAGGAGAATGTGCTGCCTTTAGTTAGACATTCTAGTCTTCTCGGCTAAGGACGAAAAACAGTAGGCCCCGTCTCACAGCTCTATCGCTGTTCTGATTCTTGTGGGACGTAAAAGAACTCGCACTGCTGTTTGTAAAGAGTAGGGGGCGTAGACCCTGGTGGTGTGGTACAACCGTTCATGGGCTGGGTGGGTAATGAAGGGGTTGATACCAATTGGGATAATAGTCCTGTGTCATCCCCTGTCACCGTGTTGAGTCACCGTGGCGAATTCAATAAAGTAAAGGACTCTTCTATGAAAGGGGTCCGCATCATAGTTTTGACTTAGTTTTTCTTGTGACACAGGGGAAGTTTCTTCCTTTCTTGATGTGAAACCGGAACCCGTTATGATCAAAAGTGAAGGATCCAACATCACCCTACGATGTGAAGCATCCATTGGT